ATTATTAATTTGTTTTCAGGCCCCAGGACTCCCTTCCTACTAAAGAATGAATGATCTTCAGGGACATAACCTTTCTTGTCAGGCCGTTCTGGATACCTCTACAATGTGATTTTTATGAGTCTAGAAGAGCTTTCACTGTGGTCTAGGAAAATCATCACAGAAAGATGATACACAGAGCTGATCCCATCCACACCTTTTCCTCCTCCTCACACCCATGTGTATATGAATACACTATAGGCCAATGAGGACCATGGTACATGCAAGCAAAGCATCTTGTCCTCTCTGACTTTCAAAGCTACTAGTGAGGGAGGAAGGAAGGAAGCAACAAGTGAGCTCCGGGAGAGTGAATCATGCAGCTGAGGTCCACAACCTTCTATTTTCTTCTCACAGCATGTGGTAGCAGCACAAAATGCCTCAGTTCCCATACAAGAATGGAAAGGAAATTGCCTTTGTTTCCCCATCTGAACTTGGTCTCTCACCCTTTCACTTCACAGGTACCTTGTCTGGGTTTGGCTTTTGTGTGAGGCCAAATGCCTAACACAAACAGGAAGCAATGACTACAGTGTCCTTCCTCCAGAACCTCGCTGTCCTCTCCATGGCACAAGATTTAGGTTTTGACAAGCAGAGAATATCTGAATATAAAGAGATTCCCAAATGTAGTTTCACTTATTTTGGAGTTTTCCTTACCACTTCTTAACTCCTGTACTAAAACCTGAACTTTTGCAAGGATTACCCTCTGTCTGACACATACTCCCAACCAGAAGGCATCAACTTGTTAAAACCTACGCTTTCCTCAGTTACACACTTTCCCCTTCCAAGGAGGCTTGAGTTTCTGCAGTAAGAAAATATTTTACTTCTTCCCAGATAGCCTAGCAGTTAAAGGCAGTCACTGCATGCCAAAGATTAAATCTCAAGGTACTTGAAGGACTATGAAGTTTCTTTTTCTCACACTTTGTCTTTAGTATTTTGAAAGACCTTTCATTCATTCTGATAGAGTGAGAAAAAAAAATAGAAAAATAGAAACGGAAAAATTGCACAAGATGGAAAAAGAAATCCTAACCTAGTTCTGACTACAGCACGTATCTCTTAACACCTTTTTTGGCAGGCATACTTCAGCTTTCTGAACAGCAGATAAACAGATGAAGCTTTAAAATACTTTTGTTCAAAACTGCACCTCACCCACACACAAACTAGTTAGACTCCTCTAGTTAAGAGAGGCAACTGCAGGCATCCTTCTAACCTCATCCTAGAGAGCCCTAAGAATCAGGTATTTCAGAGGACCTGAAGAAGAGTGGTAGGGTAAACAGATAAATCTCCCAGTCCCATCTCTCCCCAAAACTTTCTTTAGAAGCACCACAGGTTATTGGATTACATGGTATATACATCCTGCAATCTATGGACACGGGTTTGTCTTTTCTGCGCTCCTGCCTGGTCCTTCTCACCTCTTTTTTAATTATGAGGACAACAACATCTTTTGAGCAGAAACTCATGGATTTTCTCCTCCTGTGCTGTTGCTATGCTTTTTACTTACTGAAATGAGACAGAACTTTGAATGCTTATTACCCTCATTCCTCTACTCCCTCCAGGCTGTTTGCTTGCCTGCATGTGTGGGAACATGTGCAGAAGGGAGTTAACTTGGTATCTTTCAAATAACTTCACAGATCACGTTGTGTTGTCTCACGGACCACTGGTGATCCAGAAACAACAGATTATGAAAGACCAGGAGGAGGGCAGACAGAACTCAAAAAGCAGAAGAGGAGTCAAGAAGGTTATTCACATTCTGCTCTCCTTCTCTTGTCAGTTGTATAAAACCAGATTACTACAACTGGAAGGCCCCACAGATTTTGTGGTTCTTCAGCCTCACTGATAGGGTACTATAAGCAGCATGTGAGGCACAAAGCAGTGGCATTCATATGCTGTGGTTATGCAGAGAGCTTTCCTTGCCAACAGAAAAGTAGTGTGAGCACAGAAGTCTGCAAAGAACTGCTCTGGAGCATTCATACAAAACCAAACCAAAGAAACCAGGACTGTTTACTACAGCCAGCAGCTGCACAGGACACTCAACAGTCAAAACGCTTTTGTGCTGTTACTAACAGGTCTTTTTCCTAAAATGAAGTTTATACTAACTCTGCAAATGACAATGGACGTGCAGACTCCTAAATGCCCAAACTGCCGCTCTTGCTATTTTTTTCCAAAAGCACCTTGACAGACACACCATCCTTCACAAATGCCTACTTCTTGGGCTGTAAGAAAACTGCCTTTATAATTGTAACTCCTGCTAATGCATTACAGTTACTGCTCACATTTGCCAGGAAGAAGAGGGAACCAAGGTACATAGAACCTCATTAAGTCACAGGAGCAACCCTAAGTGTAAACACGGTGCGAGACAACAGCTTACCTCCTCTCATTACCTTATGTACAAGTAGTACCTGAACAGATCTCCTCCCACCTAACACTAACAAGCACAGGTGAAGCATTTTCTTTTCATGTCAAGAGTGGGATTTAATCTTCCTGGAAACAGTCTATGTGTATCTAACTTCACCACCTCTGTGCTGCTTTTGCATCGCCAAAATCTCTCACATGGACCACAAGATGCTAGTGACAACCATAGCACCATCATGAAAATGTACATCTAGTATTAGCATGAATTTGCCAAAAGGGCAGCATGTCCAATGCCACAACCTCTGTTGCTGGCCCAAAAGACAAAAGAGCAAACAGTCCTGGCAGTGGAATGCACCTCTGTAACAAACCCAACACATTAGTTTCAATGGATTTATGTACCCCACCTTTCCTTTTGAAAGGACTGAAGAGTACTCCAAGGCCCACACATAACAGCATTATTTATGCCACATGGATGATGAGCACACTGAGTTCACCACAGTTTGCAACAGTATGGTGTACCGTCAACTAAAATTAGAGAAAATGAAGGAAGCAGAAAGCAACTACTTCAGAACAACAGAGTAAGCAACTCCAACTTGCAAACCCTCTATAGTTTTTTTTGCAACAAGTATAAGACTTTTCAGCTGAGGGATCACTGGATAGGGAGCACTGCAGGCTACAACAGCTAACCAGTGCAGTGGGACCTTGGGGAATGATTGCTACCTTCTGAAGATCCAAGTGCTTCTCTCAAAAAAATACAGGTTTGCTTTGCAAAATGTCTGATTCAAGACATTGGCAGCCAAAACCCAGAAGTCATATAGAGTTTAATGTTGCTGAAAGGAAATAGTTCTCATTTGAGGATATAAATGTCCACAAGTAATTAACTCTATTTAAGAACAGAAAACTCCAATCCCATAAATCCAATTTTACAGAGACCAAAAAGAAACTGCACAGGATTTTGAAAGATTTTAAAGCTTTCTTTCCAGGCTACTAATCTGCATTTAAAACAACAGTATAGAAAACTTCTACTTTATATGAGAAATTCAATTTTTACAATACAGCTGTGCCACACAAGTGCCATTACCCCCTACCCATTACCTCTTGGCTATAAAATAGAGCTACAGAATGCGCAAATTTAGGGCACTGTGTAAAACAGACATTTGAACTTAATTAAATTCTTGACTTCTGATGTAACTTCCTACAGGAAAGTTAAAATACAAATGCACTAAGCCAGGCTGTTATCATTATTTATTTCTTCCACCATAGTCTCTGGGAAACCATGCCTACCACACAGTTTTTATCATATTTATATATTCTGGCCTTAATATTCTCTGACTTTAATGGGTGACAATTATATGATGACAGTTTCTGATCCCATACCAGTAAGTTTTGCTTGGGCTGTAGTATGTTTTAAAAATCAAAACTAGATTTTAAAAAATAATTCTGAAAAAAATTAATCAATTTTTTTAATATAATCAAAATAAGGCAGAAAAAGGCTTTCTTTGGTAAATTGCTCCTATCATTTATCACTTTCAGTACTGAAAAGTGACCCACTACGAACTATGACAACTTTAATTTCCAGACACTGGCCTTACAGAATTACCTCCAGTGTGTCACTTCAGACTCATTAATACAAGCTTACAAGTTTAAATACTGTTAGCAAGGTCAAGGTTCAAAACACTGAGTGATAAGTTAATAGAAAGACTTCAAGAAATTACACTGGAGCCAGAGATATACTTCAACCCCTGAGACAAAACCTTGTCAAGCTCTAAACCTTTCCACAGACTAGTGATGACCACATCTCAAATGTGACACGACAGAGCACTCCTTTCAAAGATAAAACTTCCATAAGGCTTTTAGTGCTGGGTTTCCATCATTTTGACTGCTTTAATGAAAAAGTAGGTCAACGTTTCTCATTAAAAATATTTAAATGCTTCACTACCTGAAGCTCATTGAAATATCAATCACTTGCCATGACAGAAAGCTGTAGGAGCAGATTTCCATCAATACCCATCTGTCAATACAGTCATTGACTTAAGACCAACATGAAATTCCTCCTGGTTACAGGTCTCTGACCCCAGAATACCTACATAGGCACAAGAGGAGGCAGAATTTATAAATAAGACCAGTTTAACTGTCTTTCCTCTCATGAAAAGCATCTGCTTCACCAAGTCCCAGCACACCACAGCACCTGAGCAGCAGTGCAGCTTCCTTTGACTACATTCAGGGGTGTGTTCTCCTTCTCTGAGGATGGTGTTTTGCTTCCCAAGAAAAGCATGCCCTTTGCAGTAGGATATTCCATTTGTAAGGAAGTTTGAGTTTTGAAATTTGGAATAAGAGAAAGAAGAAACCTCACAGGATCCCTTTGACAACAACAGCTTTTTTCATACACAGAGGACTGAGCTCCTTGCTGTCAATCATTCCCACCAACAGCCATTTGATCCATTTTAATAGAAAGAGCTGTGAAGCCTTAGCGAACAAGCCTAGTAATCTCTAACCAGTCAGAATGACAGCTGTACCAGTCTTGCACCTAGAAAGAGGATAACATTTTGCTGGGGAGGGCGGGAAAGCTACAGTTTATCCAAAGCTGACAGCATTACTCATGCACAAGCCCTACTTACAAGTGTTCTGCTGTATCTACGTCCAGGTGCTTCTCTTTTCCATTGGGTATACTGTGGTCAATGACTATTGTTTCAGTGTTGGCTAAACAAAATCCATTTGATCGCATGATTTCTGTTGGGAGAAGAAAGAAAACAAGATGAAAATCAAAAAACCAAAAAGGCTCGAAAACAACTGCATATTGTATGTAGTTGACATGGTTAAGAACAGAGATGTGTGCATCACATTGAAAATCTGTACCTGAAAGCAGGACTCAAGAGCTGGTGTCATGGCTTCTTACATCTGCAAACTGCCAGCGCTTAAGCAATTTTATTCACACAATCAATTCGTGACACACAGCATATGAAGCAAGGCTTAGTTTCAGCCCTGCTATCACCAGTGGCAAAATTCCCATCACCTTTAGCAGAATGGCAGCCCATCTGCATATTGCAACCTACCACTACCAAAACATAATTGTATTTTTCCTAGACAGTGTCAGGCTTAAGCCAGTTAAGCAAAAACCAGAGAGGCAGGAAAAAGGCAATGTAAAGTGACCTTTCAAGTTAATTCAACCAATATCTTTAAGTCATGCAAAGCAATACCATTTTCTACACTGCCTTCAACTCTGCTTATTTGTTTCTCAATGTGTAAGAAGACTTCAATCCAGAATAGCTAAAATTTCCACCTAATTCCACTGACTTACTACCATGGGGAGAGTTTATAATTAAAGAATAGTATCTGATGTGACTGAGAAATTAATCCATGTCTATGCTATATGGAAAGGTAAACTAGGCAAGTCACAAGGATTTCTTCTGGTCCCACAATCTTAAATGAAGCCAGGGCCACCACAAAATGAAACTACATCTCTATATAAAACATCTCTATATAGAACAGCACTGACTTAAGTGGGATGACTCCTGATTTGCCTCAAGATACAAGGGCCCTGTGTTACACCCTTGCATTATCAGCACAAGCAAAAGGAAATCAGTCTGTGACAGAAAATATGGTAGGCACAAAACATACGTACAGGGAATCCTCAAACAAACCGATTTCAACTACACATACAGTTCAAGTAATGAGCAGGAGAGGAGACAGGAGAAATAAAGGAGGTAACTTTTTTAAAGTGTACATTTACATGTTCCTACAGCAAGATAAAGCCAAAGCTCACATCCATATTTTTCTTGAGAAAGTAATCTTTGACTTTCAGTCTGTACTTTACTGCAACTCACTTTAGCAGAATACGTTTGAGGATGGTAAAAAATACTGAATCCCAGCAGAAACCTGCTTCAGTCATGACTCATCTTGAGCCAACATTGTACTGCAGAATAAGATTTACACCATAAATTAAAATTCAGCTTTCATCTAAGAGGGTGGCCCTTTCTCTCATCCCCATCACCTATCACTCCGAACAGACCGTATGTGGGACAGTTTGTTTCTTCAAACAACACAAAACATTTTTCCCTGTTTTTCTAAGTCTGCAAGCCATGTAGAAAGCTCCACTCCGACTAACATGAATGCAATAGTGTTTTCGTAGTGTCCTTGACATGACCTAAGAGTTACAGCACTTCGTTACTGTGATGTGATCCGCAGTTCATGCTTCAGACCTTAACATTTGCTGCCATCTACTGGCAACGCTGCCAGACACCGAAATAATTTCCAGTGTGCAACAGTCAACGCAAATATCAATCATCAAGTTTCCTACCTATGTTCTTAAATTCTTTGCAGCAGTCACTTAAATGATAAATTCAATTACCACAAGATGCTTTTGGATAGCTGCACGGGTGGGAAAAATCTTCCTTCAATTAATAAGTTATGACTTGCCTCTACCAAAATTAATTTAGAATTTAAAAAAACATGTTATTAGTCAGCTAATGTGGTTTCCACAGCTCCTCTACATAGAGGCTGGCAGGGGCTCCCCTTGCTGCTAGCCTCTCTCCATCAGCCAGGCACTCTCACTCCGAATTTAGGTTCATCTTGACCATCTTCTCTCTGTTGTACACACCACACGACATATTCAGTCATGCATACACAGACTATGTGTGCCCTTAGGGCAGTGCACGCCCTCACAAAAATTCTAAAACAGTTTCAAACACAAAATAGCCCCAAGCCAGTGCAACACTACCGTTTCTAACCAATGCAATTCCAAACACACATTTTTCTCGATATTTGCCTGTTTGCAAAAAAAACAATGCATCACTGACAGAAGCCACCCTTTGAAACATTTTTCCAGGATATACATTTTTGGGGATCCTTCATTTCCTAATGGGCAGGTTCTAGAACCCACTTTGCAACATATTTCAGACAAAACCAGTGAATATGCTTTCAAGGGTCAGTGTTGAGAACATGTCCTGGCATTCAGAAGCAAAGCGAGTAACCACACTCAGCCTTTGGAAGATGACTAATGTCAGGAACATACACATAAGGAATTTTACCTGACATTTCCACATTGACTCAATACATCATCCAAACTTCCGTAGCCACAGATGGGGCAAGACACACATGTTAGCTCCTGTCTCTCGCTCCCAGGAAGCTGGACTTGCATCACCCCAATTTGCAGTCCAGCTTCCTGGGGCTCTTCTTTGCAGTCCCTGTACCGCACTGCAGCCTGGGCTCTGGGGGCCTTCAAGAAGGCACCAGCCCACATAGGCTGGCAAGACCACGCTTCTCACTGAGGCTCTGTATTACATGGTACACTTCTGAAGAGTTATTGGTGGGCTTGTAAACCATTTACCATTCAATGAAAGAATATTTATTTAAACAGAGGATTAATTTCCTTAGAACCAAAGCTCAGGATCAATTATTTAAAAATACACTGTGTATAATATCAATCCTTAAGACGCACTGTTTACACCTTTAGCATGTTGACACAGTGACTGGCCATTAACTGATATACTGTTAGTATCTCAAGTAACTGACACCAGTCTCACACTAAATGCGTTATACAACTTGGAAGACTATATAGCATTTCACTTTTGTTTCAGTCTCTGAAATAGACTCGTCTGGCAACACAAACCCAGTAGTTGCCACAAAATTTCAGTATAGAAATACAAAACCAGGCACAGCAAAATTCCACAAACCTTTTGAGAACTGTCAGTAGCAGATGTAGAGGGGAGAGGCTGAAAGAATAGGCAAGGATGGAGTAATACTGCTCTCCATTTTACCCACTAGCAATCTGTGGTTTAGAAACTTCCTACGTCTCCATCTGTGACAAGTCTCAATGTACTTTTCCTCCAGTTGCTTGTCTAACTTCTTTTTGAAGTCATTTATGCTTTCAGTTCCACCATATCTTATGACAATGAGTTCCACTCCTTAACTGTGCTCCGTATGGTAACAAAACCATATTATAACCTTTCTTTTGTTCGTTTAAAGCCTGTTGTCTGTCAACATTATTGGATAACTCCATAGTTCTTGTTTCATGAGAAGTACGGGGTAATCGACCTCTTTCTATTCACAGCTTTGTAGACTTGAATCATATACCCACTCTGTCATCTCTTCTCAAAGTTGAAGCATCCTTTTTATTTAACCTCCTTCTTAGAGAAGCTGTTCAACAATTTGAATCTTTGTCCTTTATTTATATGCTTTTAAATTCTATTATATCCTTTCTGAGATGGAGAGACCAGACTTGCACACACTGTATTCAAGATGGGGTTGTGCTCCCTTCTTCTGTTCTCTTCTCCTTTCCTAATAATAGCTAATATTCTCACTGCTGGTTTTGCTCACCGCTTGGCACTGAGCACACATTTTTATATAGTAGCATCAGTAGCCTCATAATCTCCTTCCTAACTATCATATCTGATGATAGTGAAGACCGCATTTTCCTCATATCCACTTTGCTGCATTAATCAGTGTTCAGTTTCACCTGCCACTTTATTACCTGATTACATGTTGCATAGTATGTCAGGACTAATTTTATGTTCTGTATTATAAAGCAGACTATGAGACTAAAGAGAATCACCTTTTGAATTGTTGATGGAGAAAGAACAAGGGGAACAGCAAATAAAGTAATTTTCACTCTGTAATTCTTGTGTCAACTGTAGGAAGCTAACAACTCTTACCTGATATTTTAACTGGACTTTGAAAGCTTGGCTGAATTTTATGGACATTGTCATTTTTTAGAACTTGGTCCAAAGGAGATCTCTCAAAGAATGTGAGGACGACTTCTGATCTTGAATACTGAAAAAGAGAAAAAGAAACAGATATCCATTTTTTACCAGTAGCTTGCTTTGTTCCTCTTCTCTCTTTCCACGTCTTCATAGTATGACAGAAAGACATTACAAGCAACAGCCTAGAGATATCATTACATGGTTCTGGCACTCAGCAGTTCTCCAAGATATTCAATAAACAGATGCTTCTTTTAGAGTTTGGCAGACCCCATCACTTTCTAATCTGCATGAGAGTGTGTGTCACTGTCAAGGAAGAGTCACACTGGGCTAAATGTGGAACTTGGCTTACTCACCTTCCAGGGCATGTTTATAATAGTCTTCAGAAGCTTTTCCACTTCATTAAGTCTGGCTTCTATATCATGGGCTTCTTTTATTGTGATGAGCCCTAGAAACAAAGTAAACAGATCGTGAGCACAGACAAAAGCACGCTTTCATGTATACACACACTTCACCAGCCAGAAGCACCTGCTTGAGATGTGGAACAGCCTGATACCATGCTGCCCAGAAAGGTCTTTTAACCTGCACTGATGATAAAGCACATACCCCCAACTGAGGTGGGTGTAGTTACAAGCAGAGTTGCCAGCCTGACACAAATTCAGCTGTTTATGATCATATTTAGGAGCCGCAAGATGAGCAGAAGCAGAGCCACCTACTCCCTCACCCAGTTTCACTACACAGCATTCCCAGCAGTGATAACCAAACAGTCCGTTTCCAAGAACCATGATTCATCCTTTTTTTTCCTGACAATAAAAAGCAAATGAAAACCCAAGAAAACCAAAAAACACAACTCACAGACAAGAGGAAAAGACTAAACACAAGCTAAACAACAGCTTTTGAGGGCAGTCTTGTATTTCTCTGAATGTAAGCCCCAGTGAGTGGCCCAAGGAAGGTTTCTCAGTAACATGTACTTCAAGTGTAAAACAACTTTTTGGATTTTTTTTTTAAATCACTGAATTATCACAGTGCTGCAGAAGGGATTAAAATGGAAATTTTGCTTTCCAGTGTCCAGATTGATGCATTACAATGCTTATAATTTTGAATTGCTCGATATGGGGATTTTCAACTGTAACACCGTATTTTCTATGTATAACCTGGAGGACATCTGTAACCCCTCTCCTCTAGCAGACTGAGGGAAATATAGCACAGGTTATATGCACGTACAGGGAATATGACGAGAAGTAAACCCCAAAATCTTGCATCCCTCTAGCAGCCCTTTTATTTCTGATCTTTGTAACATACTTTTTCTAACACAATCATTGCTTCACCTCTACATTTGGGCAGTTTTTCCAAACTGATGTATACTGATACACATGTGAACCTAGAAGACTATGGAATTTAACAACAGACTCAATAAATCAAATCATCTAAATAAAAGTAAAAAATAAAACCTGAAAAGCAGTCTGTGAGAAAGCACTTCAATATACTAAAATTGTAAGTGCTAAAATCTAAGTGCATCTTCACCTCCCTATTCAAAAGGCAAGTGTACAGAAAGAGATGTCAAATATGCAGAGTGTAGGGACAATATCCACAAAATGTTTCAGTCTTCATCAGTCCTTGTTGTTTGTTACCGAGGAGACTGGATCCCACACAAACTTTCCAGGCAAAAGTGTGACTTTGAAAATGTCAGATCTCCTCAAATTACACCTCTAAATAAAACAGATATTATCTCCGGAGCAACCAGGTTTACTTGATAGTTGTCCCACAAAAGTAGCCTGGTTGCATAACCCTTTCTATTGCTCAACAGTCCCTCAATTTGCCTTTTTTTGTCAGTACCACTAACACTTCAAGTTGGTACAGCTCACTCCCTCTTCTGACAGCAGAGCAGAGTATACCAGCAGGCATATAAGGAAGGCAGCCATGCATCCTGCTTTGATCAGTGTACACTATAGTTGGGTAGTATTGCATGGAAATTCTCTGAAAGGCTGTAAACACGAATTAACTCATCCACATGGACTGTGTATTAGCTGAGTTGAGTTTGACATTACAGACCTGAATTGCAGACCAGCATCCTTCATCTTCCTAACTACTGGGTGTGAGCAGGCCTGGGTGGACCTGCTTCACCCCTCCACAAGTATGCTCTCATCCCACAACTGAATGAAGTCCAAACCTTTCAAAACAAGTGGTTTCATCTTGCCTAAAAATAAGCTACCAATGGCCCTACACCTCAGACACCCACCTACGATGTTAGAAACACACTGTTGCCCTGCTGTAGCCCACATCAGAGAAAATGGAGCTAGTCACCCCAATGCCAGCTGCCATGGGGTGCCTCTGCTTCTCCTGCTGGTCTTGCTCCAGTCTGCATAAATACTGACACATTCAGAGCAGACACTACCCGACTGCGGCTCCCACCCAGAGGGCAAACACCTCATTGCTGACCCACTTGGGATCTGGCATTCAACTGCTCTCTCTCAAATCTGCCCTCACCCTCGGACTCTTTCTTCAAGCATTTACTGTTAAAACCAGTATTTTACCAGGAAAAGGGATACTTTCAAACAGATTAAGATATTCAGACCAGGGCAGGAAAAAAAAAAAAAAGGGAAAAGACCACCTCGCCAACAACACTGAGCATTCGTCCTGTGAGGAAAACCAGCCAAGCAGTTAGGATTTTCCCTCATTAGTACTCAGGGAAAGCATCTGCAGCTCCACACAGCCTTTTTATGCTTCAGTAAGAGAAGTCAGATAAGGCTGCCAGCCTGTCGCACTGTCACAGGTCACACAGTAGGAGGTTTTACAGCTTCTCACATTCACCAGGAATTTCCAGCCCTGGTATATTCCTCTTTCCAGCTCTTGGAAAGGCACCACCCATGCAAACCCACACTCAGACTTGCAAACTGGCACAGACAACTTGTAACATCTGACACGATAAAAACTGTTCCTTTCTGAAGCTTTTAGTAATATCAAAACCAAAAGGCAGACAGCGTAGGAAGGAGAGTGATACATCTGCCTGGACAGCTTCCTATATACTTGCTTAATGATTACAGATGCACAGCTTTGGTGTGTAGAGCTGCTGACCTTACATGAATTCCCCATACAGGGAATTCAGTTTGGCTGGGCTAAAGCCTTCCTACAGTGCAAATACACAGAAACCACTTGACTGACTATGTATATATCAAACCCTGTAATTTCTTCTGCAATAGCCACAAAGTTTGTAAGGCCCTCATCTATCTTAATTCTATAAGTCTGTTTTTAAGAGTTACCAGATACCCTCATGGTTTTCAGTTAGTTGTAGCCTATAATCCCACAATCCGAGGGACTGCTCACAACCCCACACCCATGCTACCCGGAGCAAGGCACTGCCTTCCCAAGCAGCCAGGAGGAGCGGACATCCTGGTCCCTCCTTTTGCTCTCTCTCAGCACCCACTAACTGGCTGCTGTCGTCAACCACAATGCATATGTGCAGGAGGAACACTGTGGTTTCGTAAGGTGAAGTCTCCAGTGGCAACACTGGTTTAAGGTGCTATCACCCATCCCTGTAACTCATTTCCTCTCCCACACCGCAACACAGGGCTGCCTCTGCTTTGCCAGCACAATTAACTAAGCAGGAGAGAATACCTCAAACCACTCTTGTCAAAGGCTTCACCTCAGGAAACCCCAGCCTTCACAGAAGAAGCAAGAGACTGCAGGCTAGGATGCCCAATTCAAGTACCTTTCTCACACAGGCACTACATATTCACACAAGTAGCTTGACTGAGTTTGAGCAGGAATCAGTACTTGTGTGAAGAAGGGCCACAGAACTGCACTTGAGCTTTCTGTCTCTGCTCTTCACTTTGTGGGGGTTTCTCCCCTGTCTGTCTTATTTTTCCTGTTCAGAAGCTTTGACAAGGCAGAGAGAGAAAAAGGAAAACAAAAAAAAGCCAGAGACTGGTGTAGGATCTCCAGATGCTGGGAATGCCTGGACAAACAGACATGAGGCGCATGCCAGCTGACTCTGCAGACAGAGCCCAGCATCTTCACCATTCATTAACCCTGACACAAACGCACCACAACCATTTGGAGTGCATGGGACTCACTAGCCACGTATGCAGCATCCATATGGCAGCTACATGTCCTCAGGCTGTTGTGTCTCTGCCCACAGACCATAAATACATTTCCATCTGGGGCTTTTAGACCCCAAGAACCCTTATTGAGACAGTTTGCTATAAAATAAAAATAACACACCAGTAAAGCAACCAGTGACCTGGAGCCACTTGCACTTTCTTCCACTTGTTCAGTCATACAACAGAGCTGAGCTCAGAGCTGGGAAATCTCTCAGTGAGGTCATGGTGGAAGGCTGTTCTCATGCCTTTTCCACTGCTCTGGCCCTTGTCTGACTGCTAATGGAAAACACACGCAAACTCCTCCCAGGACAACTTTGCTCTCTGTCTTGTTATTCGTACTGTGCTTGGACAATTAATTATCATTTCAAGTGATTTAAATGCTATAGACACCTATGTTTATAGGGCTTGAGCCAAACAGGAGCCCCACTGGCTTCTTTTTTTACCACAAATCTCTAAGATTTCTTCACTCTGCACACAAGGGAGCCTACACACTGTGTGATGGAAGAAACAATACAGGCACACCATCTAACCCAGAGTGGCAGGATATCTGCTTTTAGCAGACTTCTGCTGTGCACACAACCCTCATAGCCAGCAACCTCATTTTCAGAAAGGAGGAGGCAATCTCTGACATCTCTGCTCCTTTCCAGACTAAAAGTCCCAGGCAGAGCCCTTAAGACTGAGCGAAAAGGATCTGCCCGCAGTTTGAGACCAAGCATACATAGCAACTTTAAGCATAGTAATGTGTATCTGGAAAAAACACAGCACAAGCAGCAGAGGCCTGCAGTACCCCTCCTGCTCTGGGACCCTGGTGCTGGAGCAGCTGCAGGAGGCTGAGAGCAGGCCAGCAGCTGCGTACCTGGCATGCTGGCTCACAGCGTGGGAGAGAGTCCCAGAGCTGCAGATGAGCAGGAAATGAGCTGAGCAGAGGAGGAGAATGAACTGGGAGCTAATTCCTGATATCAACACATGAGCCTTGGTAGGACTGGCCTATTACTGCCATGTGAGCCACCAAATCTGCCTGTAATGAAATCACAATGCAGTCCTGACAGTCAGTGTCCAAAATGAACACGGTGTCTCAACAACCCTCCAGTGCTTTCCAAGGAAGAGCAAGTTCATGCCTAAGTCAAGTATGTCTCATATGCCATCTCTCAATGATGACACATAGAAGTCTATTTTTCTGGAGATGTGTTGCTACATACAAGTCACTGTGTATAAATGGTATCAAACTATGGGCAAATCCTATTTCCGCAACCTGAACGACTCCACTTCAGGCTTGTGCTGAGGAGAGAAACAAATGTCCAAGAGATCTCCTACTTTTGCAAAATCAATTCAATATTTATAGGAGGCCAAGT